TAATGCTATACGGAACATGTGCGTTGACTGGTGCATGTAGTCGGCCTGCAAATGCAGTGTAGCATGTTGTCTCCCAGCAGTAGAACTGCTACTTTCTTCGGATCGACCACAATAAGACAAACAGTATCTTCGGATTACCCGTACATTGCTACCACTTGCTACTGCTGAAAACGTCTTAGGATATTGACATGTGGAAATCTTCATGAATCTTTTCTATCGTGCCAGGCGGTGTACATGTCAAGCAGCTCAGTGACACAATGTGTCATACTAGAAACTAAGTATGCACTCTTCTCCGTACTGACCAGTCTAATGTCTAATGACATTATTATGCCCAAATAGGGACATGACTGTATATTCCAGAACTGGGATTGCCCTATTCAAAATTTAAATAATAATAATAATAATAATAAACATGATCAGTCCACACTTGACCACAGGTAGGTACATGACTGTGTAGACCGGGCAGGGCCCCAGGGGCTGCAAAAAGTGTTCAGCCCCACCAAATGCCCCCCCCCCCCCCTTTCCCGCTAGCCTAGCCGCACACAGTTGCTAGCGCCTGGCTGCAAGAAAAAGAGAGTGGCAGTGCAGTAGCGGTGTCGGATCGGTTGGTTTTTTCGATTTTTCATTTTTTTTCGCTTTTGAGTTTTTCACGGTTGTGTGCATGATCTTGCTAGTGCATGCAGCAAGAGTTCATGAACTCTTGATGCAGACTTGCAGCGAAGTAATTTACTTCTAGTTAGCTCGGTGTGGATGGCTCGACTTGAGTTTCATCATCAACTCACCACACTTGATAGAAAACAATGTGCTCAATGGCCAGCAGGGGCATTGGAATCATCGGTATTTCCAGGTGATTTTACCACACGACTAGTACTGTAGGTTGGTGCAGGAAACTTCAATACCAGCATGGCGTCTGGTGCTGAAAAAGAGTTGACTCCCTCGTCCACTTTCGACTTGATCCCAAGCATGGTTCCTGGTAGATCTATGGTGCTCCTTCCTAAAGTTCCTAATGGTTGCATCCAGGCTCTTGAAAACTATCGCTCAACGAAGGTACAGTAGCACAATAATCATAGAGATATTGACCACATCCAGCATAACGCCTCGTTGATGTTGTCATTCTTTCAAAGTATTTGTATCAAAAGCTTGCCTCAAATTCATATTCTCGTGTTATATTTCTGGTGTTGATCACTCTGCAGACAAAATCTAAGCATCTCAGCGTTTTTTGGAATGGCACCAGTGGTGTAAGTAAATTCTGGAAAAGTTTAATTACTTAGTATTGTTGAACAAGAATGTGCATAATTATGTGTTTTGTTATGTTCCAAGTATCAGTATGGGAGGTAGACAAAATTTATGCAATGACCATTACGTTCAATTTATGCTGTACACGAATGCCATGGAGACCAGCATTTGAAAAATAGAATTGTTTCAATGAACATTGTGTATACTGTTAGGTACAGGTGCCCTATTTGAAGTTAGCATAATTATACCATTCAAGTTACGTTCTATAATATTATTAGAAGTGGTTGCTGGTGGTCGTAACCAGCTCTGATATCTGTACTCACTCCCTCACATACCATTTCACCATTCAGACCCATAGCTCGCGTATGGTCATTGTAGTCCGGTCCCCGCACCAGCCAATGGCCGTCATAGGTACTACATAGACGGAATAGGCAAAATGGCGGCTATGAGGCTGCCGGTGGTACATTGTCACCACACCACAGATGTGCGAGCTACGCCCCTGCCATTCATGTAGATATGGGCTGCCAGTATTGTCCCTGTGCTTCGGCAATGTTTCATACGTGCTGCACCTCGCTGCGGTCAGTGCACCGTAATGCACTGCCCTACTGCACATGCATGCAGTCCAGCCTCGTCGTAATTAGCTTTAGATCCAGATCCTGCTCAGGATACCTATAGAGTATTATGACAGTATTAGGGACTACAGTAGAGTGCCGGTTAGCCGCACCCATCTGGGCACGGGGTTGTCTCCAAGGTGTTTGGATGAGGAGTATTGTTCAGATAAGGTAGCGGGCACACATCAATCTAAACCATGCACATTCCCACATGCTTCCATCCTTTCTCCTTCTCTTCGGCATCACCCTAGGAATTAGACACACTCCAGCTCCTCAAAATGACACCATGGCCTGGGGACTAAATCTGACGCCAACCTGTTACCAACAACCTGTGCACCGTTTTTAATGGTGGGTGACGAAAATCAGTAAACCCTGATTTTTGTCACTTGAATTCAGTGCAAACAGGCAATCTGGATAATTGACCGTTTGGATATTTGATGTTCAAATAATTGGCGTTCTACTGTACATTGTAAACATTGATATATTTGTCATGAATTGAGTTAGTTTAGTTTCAATGTAACGCCTCCCTCCCTCCCTCCCTCACCCTGCAGAAAGATCTACTGGCTGTACATGCATCTTGTCCACCTGCATGCCCACCTGTAGTGCCACTTACACTTAGCCTGTGAGGGACACATGGGGCATGTACACCCCCTGAGATATTACCACCTTAGCTTTAGCATGTGCATGTTTGGGATCACAGTTCAGTGCCTGCTGTGAAGCCAGAGGTACCCCCCAGGTAGACCAGCTCCAACAGGGTGTCATGTACAGATAAAACAGAAGAGGTCCAATTGGATACGGAGTACTTCCATTGCCGTACCCACAAACAAAACACCAGTGAGGCGTCTCTCTCTCTCTCTCTCTCTCTCTCTCTCTCTCTCTCTCTCTCTCTCTCTGTCTCTCTCTCTCTCTCTCTCTCTCTCTCTCTCTCTCTCTCTCTCTCTCTCTCTCTCTCTCTCTCTCTCTCTCTCTCTCTCTCTCTCTCTCTCTCTCTATGACTATGAACAGCCACATACACAGTAGCACTACGTTGCATGTACAATGACCTTCCTGCCGCTGCGCAGATGCATATGATACTGAGTATGTCCCACTTGATTTATCTTGTGTGAGAAATATCGGAAATAAGAATAGAAAGTCGCTTTTCAAACACCCACGCTATAACCGATGCCTACTGTACATGAATGTGGTAATGTTTTATCACAACTTTTGTGTGTTTTTTTTCTTTGTGTAGTGTGTGTGGCTGTGTTTTCATGTCGTCATTATAGTAGTATGTGTGACAGTGAAGCTTGCATACCTTGAGGTATGTGTGGTTGATAACTAAGTGATAGGTTTATCATTACAAGGAGAGGACCATAAGTTTGCAAGTTGTCCGTTCTGTCCAACACTAAAGATTATAAGCAGGATAATGGTGAGTCAAAATGTGCAACAATTAGCACAAAACTGACTGATGTGATACTGACATTCAACGACCTGATGCTTAGCTGCATCGCGTCTCTAGTGCGCAAACCAACATCTAAGTTATGAAGTAACGTAAGGAAGGGGGGTTGGCTTGCGCACTCCAGACGTGATGCAGCTAAACATCAGGTCGTTGAATGTCAGTATCACATCAGTCAGTTTTGTGCTAATTGTTGCACATTTTGACTCACCATTTTCCTGCTTACAATCTTTAGTGTTGGACAGAACGGCTAACTTGTAAACTTATGGTCCTCTCTTTTTAATTAAAATCCTTGGCTCTCCATCCGAGTTTAATAAGTCTATCATGTCGTCATTGTTCAGGTCTTCAAGATAGCGACGGGTGAAGACGAGAAAGACTGTCAGCACTTTGCTTTGACTATCGGCGAGACAACTGGAAAAGTGTCAACAGAGCCGAACAAGAATGTGGAGGATATCTTGCGTACAAGCAGTGACAGGGGACATCAACTACAAGCTGTCGGTACTGTGACATGCAAAGTCAAGGTCAAGGCCAGGCAGTCCGAAGTGTTCACCTGTACCAGAGAGAATATCCGCACGGCCGAGCAGTCACGCAGAGCAGTTTGGTGAGGGATCATTTGTAACAGTGCTCATATGCATGCTGAATTGTGAATGAAAGTCATTCCACAAGGATTCTTAAAGGGGAAGTTAAGGCTAAAATCAAAATTTCACCAGTTGTAGTCTTCGGGGTGCTGAGTCGAATGGTCTTGGTCCGAGGAAGCTGAGACGCTCCCTTCCTTCTTTTTTCCCAATCGAACTCGCGCACTTCCACCGAAACTGGGTGACTGCGCCCTACTAGATGGGGATTTGTATGCAAAATGTCACTAAAAGCGCCATGTCGTTCTTATAAAAGCACGGATGGCCGCGATTGGCCCATATGTTGTAGTCTTTGGGACGCTGAGTCGACTGGGTTTGGTCCGTTACTCCTTTATTCCCAATCGAACATGGTTGAACAAGCGGTCATGTGCTCCTGCGTACACCAGTCACCTGGTCACCGCGCCTGCAGAGTACAACTTACTAGCCTGTTTGACCTTTTTTGGGTAGAGCCCTGTCACTTGAGTTGAACCTTGGTGTGAAAGTTGTCGCCTGCTGGGGCGGTGACCAAGTGATTTGGGCACCCAGGAGCACGTGACCGCTTGTTCAACCATGTTCGATTGGGAATAAAGGAAGAACGCTGCATCGCAGCCTTTTCGGACCAAAACCAGTCGACTCAGCGTCCAAAAGGCTACAACATATGGGCCAATCGCGGTCATCCGTGCTTTTATAAGAACGAAATGGCGCTTTTAGTGACATTTTGCATACAAATCCCCATCTAGTAGGGCGCAGTCACCCAGTTTTGGTGGAAGTGCGCGAGTTCGATTGGGAAAAAAGAAGGAAGGGAGCGTCTCAGCTTCCTCGGACCAAGACCATTCGACTCAGCACCCCAAAGACTACAACTGGTGAAATTTTGATTTTAGCCTTAACTTCCCCTTTAATCATTTATCGGGAGGGAATTAATATAGGCCCAGAGATACTATATTCCTCTCAAGCCCATTGCACAATGACATAGTCTGGCCCACCAGCACCCTGCAGATCCACATGGGCATGGCTATGTGGGATGTTGAGCAGTGCATTGCTGATCCCAGTGTATACACATGCAGGGCCGTAGCAGGCGGTCCGGCAGGTCCGGCAGCTGCCGGACCAATATTCGGCCAAAAAAAAAAGAAGAAAAAAAGGAGCTCACAGATGTGAGCATGCAGTACAGCTCAGGATGTCCACCCGGTACCATTGAAGGGGATGTGTGCAATAAGTACATGACTGTAGTATAGAGGTAGTAGCAAGAGTAGGAATAGTAGTGCTGGTAGTAGACCTACATTGTACATGTCATCAGGAATTATGATGACCCTGCTGAAGATCATGTGGACAGTCATGCCCGTGAATGTTCCTACACTGTACTTCCTGAAATGTATTGATTATTTTCTTCCTCCAATTCTTTCTAGATAGGGTTTGTACCAAAGATATCCCATTTCAATATCCTTTCTCCTCCTCCAAAGGTCCATTTTGGTTCTTTTATCACATGCATTGAGATACGCTATGCCTTCATAATCTTCAACAAGTTCTGTTTGGACGGACACAACATGCTGATGCTCTTTTTCCTGACTCATGCCGAACGTCCTTCTTCCTTTTCTCGTCCTATGTCACGCTGCATGGTCACGATTACATGCATGTACATGTACATAGTACGTATCTAATATTGACTGAGTACGAGGTCAACTTATAGTATAGGAAATAAAAGCTGAGTAAAAGACCGAGGCGAAGCCGAGGTCTTTTACGAGGTTTTTATTTCCTATTCTGACCAAGTACGAATTAGATTTATCACGACAAACAGTCCGTATTTCAAATTCCAGAACGATAACCTCATGAATCCCGGTTTTATGATTGCACAACCGTTGCACCACCACTCATGCAGTGACAATGCCGCGCTAGGCACCGTTCAACTGCGCAACCCCTAACTGGCCTAAGCAGTCAATATAGCCCTAAGGAGTGAAATATGCAGGAATATTTGACTGCTTAGGTATGGCAAAAATCTATGGGAGTCAATACTAAGGGAGTGATAAATACACGTACAATCATGTACATTTTGTACATGTACCGGCATATGTACATGTATGAGTATGGGCTCGGGGGGGGGGGGGGGGGGGAGCATCGAAGTCGTATCTTGCCGGACCAACCCAAATGGGGCTGCTACGGGCCTGACATGTACAGTGTTACTCATGCATTCCACATTGGGCAATGCGCCATGGGCTTATTGCCCATGTGTTTCCTTTGTTCCAAGTGTGCTAACTATATCATGTGTTCTGTGTGTCTGTGTTTGTACATGAGCGTGTGTGTGCATGCTTCTACATGCTTGTGTATACACGCGTGCGTGCATCTATACACGTGCTTGTGTGTGCATGCATGCATACCCGTGTGTGCCTGTATATGTGTATGTGCGTAAATTTGCTTTTCCATGCTTTGTTTTACAGTGCACAAGAAATAGAAGTGACATCTCGACGTACGTGCTTTGCCTTAGTATATCTCATTATGAAGAGTGCTATTAATTAATGTCACCCTCATGCTGTACACTGTTCACACAGTCTGCCTCCTTGCTTGTTGCAAATGGACATGCTTTTTCTGGATACGTTTGATGATGCTGAACAATGCATAATGTTACACCAGCTTTCGTTTTTCTTGGCTGGTCATACAGTAAGTGATTCTCATTGAAGAGTCACAACTATCCTAGAAAAGTTGGACCATTAGGAACCACTCACATTCTGATTCTGTTTTCTTCCTTCACCAGTTCACAATGGCATGTGGTACCAAGAGAGTGGTCTGTCCCTGGTCTACCAATGTGTACTAGTATGTAGCAATGTGTGCTGGCCGTATGTGAGTCCAGCCTATGCACATTGCAGTGCTAGCCGGTGTACATTGTTTCCTTCAGCTGTGGTGCTTCTTCTCATCTCATCTTTCATGTTGTGTATTGTATTTGTGTGCAGAGCCCAGGAAGACCAAGACTAATGGTGTTGTTGTGAAGGGTGCCAATCGGCGAGGTGCTGTACCGCCCTCGAATCTAACCTCCTCAGCCGCTAGCTCAGCATCCAAGAGGCAGCAGCCCATAGCCGGTAAATCTGCTCTTGGATTGCCTTCAGCTGATGGGAAGTATGGCGGCGGCCGCAGTGCCTTGGCCTCTGCCAGCAGCAGCGGTAGCGCTACATCTCTATCCCGGGGCACGGCAAAGAAACCAGACCTCAAGTCACTAAGGTACATGTTGTTCTGACCTCAGTGCTGTTTTGAGTGTGTCCAGTGTGCTCATTGTGTCCATGGTCTCCAGTGTATGCAATGTCTGCCATGCATTCATGCATTCATGGTCTCCAGTGTATGCAGTTGTCTGCCATGCATTCATGGTCTCCAGTGTATGCAGTGTCTGCCATGCATTCATGGTCTCCAGTGTATGCAGTGCCTGCCATGCATTCATGGTCTCCAGTGTATGCAGTGTCTGCCATGCATTCATGGTCTCCAGTGTATGCAGTGTCTGCCATGCATTCATGGTCTCCAGTGTATGCAGTGTCTGCCATGCATTCATGGTCTCCAGTGTATGCAGTGTCTGCCATGCATTCATGGTCTCCAGTGTATGCAGTGTCTGCCATGCATTCATGGTCTCCAGTGTATGCAGTGTCTGCCATGCATTCATGGTCTCCAGTGTATGCAGTGTCTGCCATGCATTCAATAACATGTTTGAATCAGCTCATGACTTGATTCAAGAATGTTGGGGTTTGTGAGATGCATTCCGAAAAGTTCGCAAAAAAAACTGCACATCCCTGCAGCACCGGCCATGGGGCACAGGCGGACAGTATAGCAGAATAGACTGGTGCATGGTCATGTTATGGTATGAGCTTGAGTATGGTAGAGACTACACTGAGTATGGTAGAGACTACACTGAGTAAAACTCTGTCAGCAGTGAATGAACTCTTGCTTGAGCGACGCAGGAATGCAGAATTCAGCGCACACTGTCTCTCCGTTTGGGAGATTTGATTTGAACTCATTACTTGGATCCCTGGATACTTTAGCTGCCTAGTTCCCATGCTTGTTCTTATTTTAGCTAGGCTTTGAGATGAAAAGGTGTTCGCTCTCCACACACTATAAAATCACCGCCAAAGTCGCTACCGCTATCTCAGGATTTGAGATGCTTCAGAGTTGCCACCTGCTCGTGCTCATCACTCATACCAAGAGTACATAACCCCCCAAGAGTGTGCAACTCCAGCTAGTATGGGGTCTGCGACGGCAGAACTTCACATCACGTGATTAACCCGTACGCACTATTTGCACTCTGTGCATGATTGATACAGGGTTGTACGCAGCCCAGATTTTGGTACAACTCTCTTGTGGTCACTTTGCGCTGTTTGCCAGTGTAACCTTTTGAACCATGTCACGTGATGTGAAGTTCTGCTGTCGCAGCACTGCATAGAGGTTGTGCAGGCAGTTGCACACTCTTGGGGTTATGTACTCTTGCTCATACTCGCATAGGATATAGTCAACTCTCTGTTATCAGTCCCGTTCATGATCTATCACAGTTCAACAAGTACCGTAAAGTACCGTTGATCCCCCCCCCCCCCCACACCATGTCGCTTCCCAGCTGGGTTTTCGGCAGGGGGCGGGAATTAAATCAAGGCTGTCAAGTGCAGTACGATACAACGTGGAGGATCAGACTCGATGTGCTGGATTGTACACATTTTTATCCTGGATTGGCACGTATTGTGTACAGCAGTGCATGCATCAGTTCAACATCGCATTTCGTTGTATACGCTTCACGGGTAGAAAATCGACAGGGGGCGGGAATTGGAGAGGGGCGGGAATTGGAGAGGGGGCGGGAATTGGAGAGGGGGCGGGAATTGGAGAGGGGGCGGGAATTGGAGAGGGGGCGGATCAATGGTACTTTACGGTAGATGTAAAGTTCAAAACACTGTCACAGAAGTACATACTTGTGCCTCAATGACCAGTCACAAACCACTGTGGTTTTCTCTGCGAGCAGACACAGGAAGCGCAGAATCTCTCCCGATAGCCACTTGGTAGTTACTTTTGGGTATGGTTAGAACTCTCAACCACCTCCAAACCCCTCGTCACTCACTGCAAGTCACTTCTCAACCCCGGGGTACTCATGGCAAGGCACCTCTCAACCCCAGGACTTATGGCAAGGCACCTCTCAACCCCAGGACTTATGGCAAGGCACCTCTCAACCCCAGGACTTATTGCAAGGCACCTCTTCAACCCCAGGACTAATGCAAGGCGTACAAGTTTCAGGAACATGCACTTAACATGTTCATGTTTTCAATGCATTTGGTGGTTGTATGTTGTATGTTGTGTGTTGTATGTTGTGTGTTGTATGTTGTATGTTGTATGTTGTGTGTTGTATGTTGTGTGTTGTATGTTGTATGTTGTATGTTGTATGTTGTGTGTTGTATGTTGTGTGTTGTATGTTGTGTGTTGTATGTTGTATGTTGTATGTTGTGTGTTGTATGTTGTGTGTTGTATGTTGTATGTTGTGTGTTGTATGTTGTGTGTTGTATGTTGTGTGTTGTATGTTGTGTGTTGTGTGTTGTATGTTGTATGTTGTATGTTGTATGTTGTATGTTGTGTGTTGTATGTTGTATGTTGTGTGTTGTATGTTGTGTGTTGTATGTTGTGTGTTGTATGTTGTGTGTTGTATGTTGTATGTTGTGTGTTGTATGTTGTGTGTTGTATGTTGTGTGTTGTATGTTGTGTGTTGTATGTTGTGTGTTGTATGTTGTGTGTTGTATGTTGTATGTTGTATGTTGTATGTTGTATGTTGTATGTTGTGTGTTGTATGTTGTGTGTTTGGATGTACTGTAAGTCTACAAATTTTCGACCCATTCAAATTTCGGCCTCCCAAGGCTAAAACCCATTTCGACCCATTCAAATTTTCGGCCTGTGTTGCTGCCACCTGTATACACTGTCACACTGAACCTTGCAAAACAAAATTACGGCCACAACAAAATTACGGCCACAACAAATTTTCGGCCAAACACGATCAGGCCGAAAATAGTCTAAAATAAACATGCGCCACATATTTGTTGACTTACAGTACACTGGGATTGCATCATGGATCCAAAACAGAATACCTTGAACATGTTGAATTCGTAAAAAATTGGTTGTGAGCAACACTGGCTCACACTCAAATAACTGCTTTTCACCAGAAAAATATTATATTTCAACGTTTCGGTCATGAAATAACCATCATCAGGAATGAACCTCCTGATGATGGTTATTTCATGACCGAAACGTTGAAATATAATATTTTTCTGGTGAAAAGCAGTTATTTGAGTGTGAGCCAGTGTTGCTCACAACCAATTTTTTACTTATGAAGCTGCGTGATGCGTCCTACAAGATTTTATGTTGAATTCGTTCGTGGCAAACACATATTGGGATACTGCCCCTTGTCTCTTTGTGCATCCCCAGTTTTGGTATCTCTCTAGGAGAATGCTGACACTCATGCTTGCTTTTGTATCTTGTCTAGGGGATGCTGATATTCATCCTTTCTGTTGTATCTTTCCTAGGGGCATGCTGACGTTTATCCTGGCTCCCAAGCCGTTGAAGAAATCTGAGATCCTGTCCCGACTAAGCAAAGGTGTGTACAGTCTGCTACATACTATCAAGAGTACATAACCCCCAAGAGTGTGCAACTCCAGCTATGGGGTCTGCGACGGCAGAACTTCAATCACGTGATGAACCCGTACACATTATTTGCACTCTATGCATGATTGATACAGGGTTGTATGAAACCCAGCTTTGGGTACAACTCTCTTGTGATCACTTTGCACTGTTTTCCAGTGTAACCTTTTGAACCATGTCACGTGATGTGAAGTTCTGCCGTCGCAGCACTGCATAGAGGTTATGCAGGCAGTTGCACACTCTTGGGGGTTATGTACTCTTGATACTATGCATGCTACTGGCTGAAGCATACAGCAGCCTATTGGAAGGGAGGGAGACTTCTTCCATAGCTAGCTAATTTCGGTACAAAGAGATTGTGGCAATCTCGTATGTACCTACAATTGAGTTTTATAACTAATTCATGTTGCCCAAAAATCGTAGAAATTCCTTTCCAAAAACGGGTTTGATCAAAGATATTGTGCCTATTATCTCGCAAAAGGAATGCCATGCCCAATCTCCACTGTTTCGGCTTTTATTGAACTTCACCGAAATTCAATTGGCGCCGAAAGTTTCTCCCCTTGCAGTACCCATATACGGTGAAGTGGAAGCGGAGAAAGCGGTATAGCTGTCCTTGTGTTGACATTGGCCCATTTGAACATGGCCATGCTCTACTCAAACCAGACTCCTCTCCAAATCACAATGGAATGTATAGCTGATGCTGCACAAAGGCGTGCTCATGTGTGTAGCAATGCTATTCTCACATTTTTACTCCCAGTCTGATTTTTACACATGGTTATACTTAATGTGTGTGTGTGTGGGGGGGGGGGGGGTCCGGGATTGGTGTTGTAGGCTCGGAAGTGCAGATTGAGTCTGAAGTGGGATTCATAGAAGCATATTTGCGGTGCAATGGCCGCGAAACCGGGAACCCCCAAATCATATCCATCCCACAGATCACGCAACTGGCCCATCGCAGAAGTTGAGCTTGGCTCAACTTTCACGATGCGACATGCGATGCGGTGTACGATTTTGACCTTTGCAGCACAGTTGTACAACAGGTTCAAGATTTGCTTGTAGATTTGTAAAATGTGTACTCAACCATGCGAATACCATGGTAACGTATTCACCTTCATTTAACTTTGCACCAAATCAGCAAAGCGACGTCACATCGCTGACTTTTTCTGTGAATGGTATTTTGCAAATTCGCATCGCAAAGAAGCTTCTGTGCGTCCCGCTTTAGCTGGCATGACTTGGCATGCTGGCAGTGGATTAGGGACAACACTGGTCTAAATCTGGCCACATCAATATGGATTTTGATGACTAGAAGTGAGTGTATGTGTCTGTCTGTCTGTCTGTGCGTGTTTGTTTGGTTACAGCTGACAAGAAATACCATGAACACCGCGATGAGTCACGTTTATATACAACCCTGGATGCCATAGCAACATCATCACATGACCTATATCATCTGAAAGCAGAATTGCTTCAGGGACTTCAGGTAACTTCTACCATACTGCATTTGCACTGTAACAAACAGATTGATGACTGACTGACTGGTTCTCTCTCTCTGTCTGTCTGTCTCTCTCTTTCTCTCTCTCTCTCTCTCTCTCTCTCTCTCTCTCTCTCTCTCTCTCTCTCTCTCTCTCTCTCTCTCTCTCTCTCTCTCTCTCTCTCTCTCTCTCTCTCTCTCTCTCTCTCTCTCTTTCACTCTCTCTCTCTGTCTCTCTCTCTTTCACTCTCTCTCTCTCTCTCTCTCTCTCTCTGTCTCTCTCTCTCTCTCTCTCTCTCTCTCTCTCTCTCTCTCTCTCTCTCTCTCTCTCTCTCTCTCTTTTTCTTTCTTCCTCTTTCTCTTTCTCCGAAGCCAAAATTGGCAGTGACAAGTTCCAAGTATTCTGTAGTCAACATGTATGTGGTGATATAATATTATTGTTCCTGTTTGTTCGTTTTGTTGGTATTTGTTTGAGTACAGGTGTCCAAATGGCCTCATTACACCGAGACTGAGAAACTTGCCATACAGAGGTATGATGAGATGTTTCCAGCTTTGTACTAGCTGTGTGCATGGTGGTGTCCTTCTGGTGGCATGATTGCTTCTTGTATTTCCTGCTGTGTATATAGCCTGTTCTTCTTGTAATACAGTCAGTGCAGTTGGTTACATTATTGACTGATTTGCTGTGTGTGTGTGTGACTGTGTGTGTGACTGTGTGTGTGTGACTGTGTGCGTGCATGCGCGTCCATTCTTACGTGTGTGTATGTCATGTGTCTGTCTTGTGCATGTTACTAGGAGACTGAAGTTTGAAGGTTTGGATGATGCTGTTGCTAACGGTAGTAACAGTGGTGCTGCATCGACCTTATCAACAGCTACACCAGCATCAGCAAGTCATACATCCACACCTTCACCAAGCGATCAACATCAGCAGCAGCAGTTACGCTCTCCATACCGTTCTGTTGCTGGTTTAGTTGATGACTTAGGCCTGAGTGGTGAGAGGTCTCCATCTAGCCAGCTAACACCATTATCTAGTGCTCACGTTCGCTCTGCCAGACAACAGCAGCAGCAACAGCAATCTCATACTAGTTCAGTCAGTGCTATGTCCGCATCAGATGATGGGTGGGTACCAACAACGACAGAAAAGTTGAAACATAACTCAACGCCCGCAACTCGTCGTGCCACGCTTAGCAAGGCGCAGACTAACATGCTGGCAGCTTCTAGCAAAGCTCGCCATGGCAATTATTCCAACGCCAAAACAAACTCTCGCCTGAAAGCAAGTAGTGGTGCTAGTGGTTCAGGCAGTAGTGGTAATTCCACCAGTGTCACATCATCACCGTCGTTGGCATCATCATCAGCTTCATCTACTGCCACTAGCACCACCACCGCCACTACCACTACCACCCACTCTGCATCTGAACAAGCTGATACTGCGTCTAGATCCACAAGTAATACGAGTGCTGCAACTGGCGCTGCTGCTGCTACTGGTGCCGGTGGTAATGGTACTGCTGCTGCTGCAACTACTTCTACAGCTGCGACAAGCAATCATTCAAGTTCTTCTGTGCTACGGCGGAGTAGCTCTCGAACAACACCAATAGCGTCAAGTTCAACAGCAAGCACTTCTACTGATAACTCCAGTAATGTCTTGTCCACGTCAGCAACAACGACAACTGGAAATTCATTGCTGTCTTCCACCCGTACTGCTGCTGGCACATCGTCTTCAAGCGGCACGACGGAATCAACACAGACTCCAGCGCCGCATTCTGGAAAGGGAATCAAGAGACGGCGACATCAAGAATCGAATCAGAGCAGCAACAGTAGTGGCAAGAGCTCTGCTGCTAGTACAGCCACCACAGCTAGCAGCAGCAGCACTACTAGCTCTCGGAGGCATGCTAGCATGGAACCGGAGAGAAAGCGACGACCATCCAGTGTTGCATCCAGTACACCATCCGCCACGTCTACTGCTACCTCTAGTCATTTACCATCGACAGCAGCAGCGTCAACAGGGGCTCAGGGAACATCGGCGGCGGTGTCATCGCATTCAAGTAGTCGTCATCACCATCAACCCAAGCATCATCATCACCGCAGGGTATCCTCCGGTGCCGCTGCTGCTGCCGCTGGTGGTGGTGATGGCGCTGCTGCAGCTGCTGCTATTGGCGGAGAACTGCATGTTGACATGAGTGAAGACTGGACATGGTAAGTCACTGCAGTTGTTCTCTTCAACTTGCACACTATTACTGGCAGTTGTGCTGTGCAGTACTACATAGACCAATACTAATGCTAGGTACTACTAGTACATGGCTTTCTGATCAACACTCTACAGTACTTTGTACATCACTGTAATTCCTTTGATCACCTGCTATGACACTTTCCAGATGGTGTTACAGCAAGGGGTGGTAACTAGACCGATGCTCTCACACAGGGTACAGTAAGATCGGGCGCCGAAGAACGCAGGGGCTCGAGCGCAGCCTAGGAAAGTTCTTAAATTTTTGATTCTAGCCAGACCGTTCTTATTCACACGCGCGCGCGCGCGGCGAGTCGAGTGACGTCATGACGTTTGTCATGTACATGTACATGTAGTGCAATGTAGTACTTCTAAACTAGTGGGTGTCGTAAATGGGAATGACTGTACATGTAGCAGTTACTGTGTACACGTGTACATGACATGTACTCACCTCCCATACATGTACAATGTAGATCTACGTGTAAATTTTTAAAAGTGTTCTTAAATCTGATAATTCTAGCCTGGACTTTTCTTAAATTTTGCCGGTTTTCCACGTCATGAAAATGTAGAAGCCCTGAAACCGCAAGTGCTTTCTTCTGTAGCTCCCCTTGATCCAATTGCTCTTTTGGTGGCTTGTTGTTGTCTGCAGTAAATACTCTGAGGTAACATCCTACGCTGTTCGTTGTTCGTATAAGAATGACTTCAATTCAGCCTACCCACTCTACTGCAAGTTGAAGAGCAAGATGGATATGGTGATGGAGGAGTTCCAGATTTTAGAAGAGCAATGGAAGGAGGCCGAGGGAACACCTGAAGAAGATGTGAGAAGAAGTACTGTAGTTCTAGGAGCACAGAGAGAGAGAGGGGGGGGGGGGTACTATAGCAGTAATAGTGGTACTATTTGATTGTACCGAGTCTCGGCTTACCTTGTGCGCTCTCATTTAATTGTATGCCCTTTTAACTGAAGAAGCGCTCTTCCAAACTGCAACAAGTACTCTGTTACATGGACATGCTCTTGTGCGTAAGACCCTAGTTTGGGCAGAGTGGTGACAAGACATGTAGTGTCGGGTGTTGGTTTTACGCCGCCCAGAATTCATTCCTTGTTTCAGGCCACCCAGAATTCATTCCTTGTTTCAGGCCACCCAGAATTCATTCCTTGTTTCAGGCCACCCAGAATTCATTCCTTGTTTCGGCCCACCCAGAATTCATTCCTTGTTTCGTGCTGTTTCGGGCCACCCAGAGTGCAGTACCGATTCTAGTAGTGTTACAATCCCATGCTTCGTGTTTGCAACGTGAGCGCACCGCTTTAATACTCTTGCTAGTATCATGGGAAACCTCTGTGATTGAAAAAAGAAAGCGCAAAAGAAGACGTTAGCAGGACGGGTACTGAGTGGCTAGTCACTTCAGTCGCATTGTTTCAGCTATTTTATATCCAACTGTAATATGGAGTCTGGCGGGGAAGGGCTCTTGCTGGCTGCTGCAGGTGCTGGCCATCTTAGCAAAATGTACCTGGCAGACCCTCACTCCTGTGTACTGTGTGTGCATGCGTGCGTATGGCTGCTGCTGCTTCTGTTGTACTGTCGGTGTACTGTTGTTGAATTACAGAAAGTGTATGAGAAGGTCATTGCTCTTCACGACAAGTACATGCGGGTAGGTAATGCTTGCTTCATGTACCTCTGCTGCTGAATACGGATAGGCATGACGTGTTGTATGCTGAGATATACTTCTACATACAGCAGTGTGCTGATTATCCGCACCCCTTGGGGCACGGGCTGTCTCCAGGAGGTTCGGATGAGAAGATTGTTTGGATAAGGGAGCAGTCACACATCTATCTAGAACATGCCTATTCCCACATGTTTTCATCCTTTTTCATTCTCATAGGCAGCACAACAGGAACTAGGCGCACTTCAGCTCCTCAAAAAGACACGCTATCTTTATTTATAGTTGAGTCACCTCCACCACCACACTGCGCTCCTTAGCCGACTAGACCCTCCTGCACACAACCATCACCATTGCGAGGACACTTCCGTAGACGATATTGATAAACTCCTTCAAACAGCTGTTTCGCTAATACATAGCTCATCAGTGAAGGTAGATGTTGAATGATTAAAAATATAGACCAAACTGCTGCAGCTGTCTGAAGGAGTTTATCAATATCGTCTACGGAAGTGTCCTCGCAATGGTGATGGTTGTGTGCAGGAGGGTCTAGTCGGCTAAGGAGCGCAGTGTGGTGGTGGAGGTGACTCAACATTTTCTTCGATGGCCGAGAGCTCTGTCGCACCCTGTAATCTTTATTTATAGGTAATTTTTTATACATGTTAACTCCAACCAGTTATAATACATCTTGTGCATCACTTGAATGGTGCTCCGAGTGGGGGAAATCAGCAAAAAAACCCTCGAAAACCTGCTAATTATTATTTGACCAGCCCGGCCAGGCGACCCGGATAATCGATCATCGGGATAGTTGACGTCCGGATAATCGGCGTTCTACTGTTCTGGACTCAGGTCCGGAGCAAGTGTTTGTGTCTCTCCTGATGGCTAACATCAGCTTGAATTAGGCGTATTCTACAGTGGTGCCAAGTCCAATCTGACCCCAGGAGCGGTGCACTCCTACTGCACCAACGCAGCACACAACCGCACAAACCTCAAAGCCTGAACAGTGCATGCATGCAATGTACAGCACTAAACGAGAGAGCTTGGAAGCTCAGGGCCCTACGCTATGCTTTTTTGCCTTGATGACTTAGACAAAAAAAGCATAGGGATGTTATAAATTCTTAGAAATTTCTACTTTTTGTTTTTAGACATAACCTGGGATTCGAACCCGCACTATCGCCCTGCATGCATTTCCCGATACACTTCGCATACATACTAATTCTTCCAAGTTGCTTCACGTTATGATCTTGTATTTGAAAGCCCTATTTGAATATGCATTGTGGCCAGCCGTCTTTGATTGTACGGTACGGTACGGTACGGGACAGGTACGGTCGAGGGTAATACGACACCATCTACCACCTTGATGACGGCAAAAAAAAGAATAGGGATGTTATAAATTTTTCAATTCTCCTATTTTTTTCAGGCATTACCTGGGATTCGAACCCGCACTATCGCCCTACATGCATTCCCCCATACACTTCTCATTCATACTCATTCTTCCAAGTTGCTTCACGTTATGATCTTGCGTTTGAAAGCCCTATTTGAATAGTGTGGCCAGCTGTGTTTGATGGTACGGGACAGATACGGGATAGCGCCAGGCGTGACACAAACACACAAACACCAAACGAGAGAGCTTGGAAGCTCAGGGCCCTACGCTATGCTTTTTTTGCCTTGATGACCTAGACAAAAAAAGCATAGGGATGTTATAAATTCTTATAAATTTCTACTTTTTGTTTTTAGACATAACATGGGATTCGAACCCGCATTATCGCCCTGCATGCATCCCCCGATACACTTCGCATACATACTAATTCTTCCAAGTAGCTTCACGTTATGATCTTGTATTTGAAAGCCCTATTTGAATATGAATTGTGGGCAGCCGTCTTTGATTGTACGGTACGGGACAGCTACGGGACAGGTATGGTCGAGGGTAATACGACACCATCTACCGCCTTGATGACGGCATAAAAAGAATAGGGATGTTGTAAATGTTTCAATTCTCCTATTTTTTTAATGCATTACCTGGGATTCGAACCCGCACTATCGCCCTACATGCATTCCCCCATACACTTCGCATTCATACTCATTCTTCCAAGTTGCTTCACGTTATGATCTTGCGTTTGAAAGCCCTATTTGAATAGTGCGGCCAGCTGTATGTGGCCAGCTGTGTTTGCTGGTACGGTACGGGACAGATACGGATAGCGCCAGGCGTGACACAAACACACAAACAAACACCAAATTAAAGCTGTGTGGACCCTGGCTAGCGCCAGACGTTACTGAAGTAACGTCTTCTGCATAGCTACGGGAATTAAAGCTGTGTGGACACTGGCTAGCGCCAGACATTACTGTCTGTCTTCTGCATAGCTACGGGAATAAAACACAATTTATGTATCACATGCAAGTGTGAGCCATATTATTATTGTTATTATTATTTGTAAGAAAGGGTTTGCTCCCCACACCGGAGCTCGCGCTATTCCGCCGACTTTACTTGACACTTGACTGACTCACGACTGCCATCGGCGGAGTAAAGTCGGCGGAATAGCGCGAGCTCCGGTGTGGGGAGCAAACCCTTACTTCGTGTTATTATTATTATTGCAAATAACGCTGAGTAATTACACGAAAGCATAAAAACCAGCATTTGCTTCCGGGAAGGATTCACAAACATAAGACAAAAACACCATGGCTCAATGTAACTGCACATACGAAAAGCAGCTTCTATTGTCAAGTTCAGTGAGCCATATACTGCTGATGTATCTGTGACTCTCTCCTGACCTGAACATTTCCCTTATCGAATCCTCTTCTGGACAGCGTCTGCCCTAAAGGGTTGGGATAATCGATGCTCTACTGCAGTAGCGTACTAGTAGGGCAGTGTTAGAGGTACCAAGCTCCGTGCCACCACTCTGCAAGCGCTGAGCACTCACTGGTTTCATGGCGATTTGAGCAATGTCTTGGCAATTTTGCCATCATCAGGTCAATCTGTCCACACCTTGTAGTGATTTAGTCCTTGACCCAGCAAAAAAATCTGTGAAGCCAGGCTAAATGCCACCATGACAAATTAGGTTCCGTTTGGTTGGTCACATTCCACAATGGGAATCACTGGGAATCATTCTTGCCCGTTTGTTTGGTCAAAACATTCCGTTATGTTGGTCCCATTCCAGAATGGGAATCGCTGAGAACGATTCTTTTTGGAGAATGATCATTCCACCTCACATGCTGGAATGAGCATTCCCTTTCCGGAATCAAAAATGATAATGGTTGCCACGAGCCAAACAATAATTATAGCAACAGGTTCCATTACGAAATAAATAGTGTGGGAGCAAACCCATTCCTAAACAGGTTCATATTTACTTAAAAGCAGCTTGTCACTGATCCGCTTCTGTGTTTGCTTTTTGATTTCTCACTGTATTGCAGGATAGTACATTCAAATCTGAGCGTGAGAAGCTGCAGTTTCTTCACAATAAGTTAAGTCACATCAAGACCTTGATTGGTGTTTATGATTCTCAGCTGCTTGCTCAATCATAACCCCTGTGCTAGTAGCTGCAGCAGCCATTGCACCAGTAGTACAGTAGTACCACTGTGTTACAAATAGTAGGAGATCTACAGCAATTACTGCTAGTGCTACTCACTATAGATGTTGCCACATAATTCTAGCTGTACATCTCTTCTAGGTCAGGACACCCCGCGCTCTTCTTGCACAGACATGCTACTAGTTTCGTTCTTGCACAGACATGCCACTAGTATATCATTCTCACCCAAACCATGTCTAGTTTCTAGTTTTCTGTCTGTTTGGCATCCTATCTCTTTCTTGCAAGCTTCCAGGGCTTGGATTGCACATACCATTTTTAGATTTTATTCAATTTGGCGTTCTCTTTTTACCTTCTGCTGCTGGTGGTGGTGGATTTGATGGCGGAGCATTTTATTTTCTTGAGGGATTTTTCATTTAGTTTCTCCTACTATTCCAGTCTGTGTTTCATTCTCATCTGCATTTTGTAGCCAGGCGTCCCTTCGTCGTGCCTGCTGCTGTTGTTGCTGGCTAAGCCTGTTTGTTCACTACAAGCGCTTCTTAGTTGCGATGCTACACCTTTTTCTACAGCAGCTCCTCCACACCCTTGTAAGAGGTGGGTTTTTCTCCTTCGAAGACTTGTATGACATCAGTACTGCTCAAAGCAGTAGGAGAGGTTTGCTGTTGCTAGTACTGGCTTTCTTACAATACATAGTGTTGTACCAGCAACCACGCGGGTTGCCCACACGTACACACACACACTCTCTCTCTCTCTCTCTCTCTCTCTCTCTCTCTCTAATTCTTGCGTATGAGCGTGTGTCCTCTGACACACCCCGCCTACCACGTTGATAGCTGGACTGACATTCATAGAAGTCACGATACACATTTCGCAGCTATTTTGCAGCTATCTTGCACACATTGAGATATTGGTCCAAACTATTTTCTATTTCGTCCTGTCAATACCAATGCCACACCAGCCCAGCAGCTCTGTACATACTATGATTATGATGACATTATACATATAGCTGCTACTCTGCTACCGTTGCTACTGCTGGTTGTACTGCTGATGGTGGCACTGCTTTGCTACTGCTGGTAGTACTGCTGATGGTGGCGCTGCTTTGCTGCTGCTGCTGCCAAGTGCTGTTGATTTATTTTACGTGTACATAGCTGCTAGTCCCTTTGTGCTATTTTGGCATCCTGTGCATCCTGTGCTACTTTGCTGCATGGACCAGCAGCATCACTGTGTTGCTATGTACCATCATTTTACATCAACCTCTTCTTTCTCTTTTATTTTCTTGCTGCTATAGTGATTTTATTCTATGTGTGTTTTTAATACGCACTGAGTGTCTTATTTCTTGCCAGCGGCATTGCTCCCATGCCACCACCATCTCTAGATGGGCCTGGCTGCAAGCTGAAGATCAGCTCACGGTCCCAGCATATTGCCCAAAGTTCAGCGGCACAATGGTGTCCCAATCTCTTCTTTGTTCGACTTGCTTGTTCTCTGAACTGTCCAGTGGTTGCGATTCTTGCCGTGTTTTGGACGGTTCATACCCACCCTCACATGTTTTCTTAATGCATGCTATTCTCCAGTTCATCGTGTTTAGGGTGTGTTCTTTTTGTCCAGTGTCTGTAGGAGTGGGCACTGCAATGTACTCGCACGTTTGGTAGACGTGTTGAATTCTCTGTCCACCTCAAACTACAGCTGTAGTGCTATCCCTCTTGTACTGGGTCTGGCTCTGCTCACTGTCCCTCTTGTACTGGGCCTGGCTCTGCTCGCCGTCCCTCTTGTACTGGGTCTGGCTCTGCTCGCTGTCCCTCTTGTACTGGGTCTGGCTCTGCTCGCTGTCCCTCTTGTTCTGGGTCTGGCTCTGCTCGCTGTCCCTCTTGTTCTGGGTCTGGCTCTGCTCGCTGTCCCTCTTGTACTGGGCCTGGCTCTGCTCGCTGTCCCTCTTGTACTGGGTCTGGCTCTGCTCACTGTCCCTCTTGTTCTGGGTCTGGCTCTGCTCGCTGTCCCTCTTGTTCTGGGTCTGGCTCTGCTCGCTGTCCCTCTTGTACTGGGCCTGGCTCTGCTCGCTGTCCCTCTTGTACTGGGTCTGGCTCTGCTCGCTGTCCCTCTTGTACTGGGTCTGGCTCTGCTCACTGTCCTCTTGTACTGGGTCTGGCTCTGCTCACTGTCCCTCTTGTACTGGGTCTGGCTCTGCTCGCTGTCTCTGGTCACAGTGATCACTGTGATGGCGGTCAGTGTTTGTAGCACTTCCGTGGCCACTGTTGCTTGCTAATAATCGTGCATTTGTTGAGCCGCTTTGAGTGCATGCACTCAGCAAGTGGCGCCAAGCCAGGGGTCATAGCATCCAGGTAGATGGCACATAGGCGAGTGGGAAATGATGCAGGCTTCGCTCGTGGGTGGGTTGCTTGTTCTGGTTTCCTGGTTGCCCCTGGGAAGAACCTGCATATCATCTGGTCACTAACATTGTTGTCTCGTCACAATCATGTCCTCTCCCAATGCTGTGACTCCCTAGGCCCTGGCCACCACCGGAGCGGAGGGTTGTCACCATTAGCAAGAGTACATAACCCCCCCCCCCCCCCCCCCCCCCCAGAGTGTGCAACGCCTGATCCAGCTCTGTATAGGGTCTTGGTCGAGCGTAATCGGACCTTTGCGTCACAATACCGTACACATCTCAGAGGAGCCCGGGGAGTCGCGGGTACTCTCGGATCAAAAACAATGGTACCCTGCCTCGAGACCGGCCTTGCGCTGGTGTGGAGTGTCCGCATGACATCAGAAGATCCGATTACGCTCGACCAAGACCCTATTATTATATTCAGAGCTGGATCAGGTGTTGCACACTCTGGGGGGGGGGGGGGGGGGGGTATGTATTCTAGCCATTAGCATTGCCAAAAGTATAAGCTCCCAAGAGTGTGCAACTCATGACACCCTTTCTATGGAGTTCGCCGATGGCGAAAACTCACACCACGTGGTGTAGTGTTCCAGTGGTGCGTTTCCAGCCTGTTTTTAGCGAACAGCGGGGTAATAAAAAATTCTCTCTGACAGAAACTCGCCAGCATGATCATGGCAGATATTCGGATTATGCGCACGCTATCCTTCGTTTGTACGTAGTACGAAACGTACCTGAGAAACGTGACGTGAGTTTTCGCCATCCGAGACCCCATATGCAGAGTTGGACACTCTTGGGAGTTAATTATTTACTCGTGCCATTACGGTACATTTCTTATACCAAGAGGGGGGTTATGTACTCTTGCTTATACCCTGCACAGTTTTTGTACAATGCACAGTGTGGCTCAGTGAAATCCAGTCACGTCACTCAAGTACGCGCCTGGCGTGGCACAACCATAGACCTGCAAACACTGGGCTGCGAAATGATGCAAGGTGCAAACTTGACTGTTACTTGAGTGGCGCAACTGGATTTCATTGAGCAGCACTGTATGTGCATGTGAAAAGTCCTTTGGCTTGATCTTCTTGTGCCTAGCTTCAGTACGTACATGTGTGCACTGGACATGTAACGTTACGTGTGGTAAACAAAAATAATAATAAACTTTGAGAATAGAAAAAAAGATAAAGTAACTACAAGTTACGCTATGAGGTCCCCTAACACCACCAGTTTAATACTAAACAATCAGCTCATGCGATAACATTGCATGACACTGACCGACGGTACTGACGTTCTACAACTAACTGGCTACCAGCTCTAGCACATCTTGGATGCGCACTCCACCAGCCTTCCAGCTTGGACGGTTTTAAGTTATAGAAATAACATCAGGAGGGGGGGGGGGAGACATGTAACGTTACCTGAACCTGAACAACATGCCAGGAGTGGTGGAGGCAAGACACATTCGCATTTACATACATGCGCACCCATGCATGCACACACCATGAATGAATATTAGCAAGAGTACATAAACTAGAGTGTCCAACTCAGGCAGTGCTGGAGAAAGCCTACCACCGTTTGCATGATTTGATATCATAGTTCAGTATAAATAACCGATGTCACAGACTGTGTATTAAATTATTTTATGCAACAATGGAATCACACACGGATCACAGTTTCCATGAATCCTCAAAAAAATGACACAAACAACTACACAAATGTTCTAATTATCCAGAACCCATATGCGCATAGTCGCTCACTCTCGGGGGTTACAAACTATTGAGTCTTGATAGTAGATACACTGTATCAAGAAAGTGTGACACTGGCAATGATGAGCCAATCCAGCACTGAGCGGTTGGGTTCTCATGTGGTCAATTATCCGTGACTATGCAATTCGGAATTCAACACTACAAGTATTTCAATACATATCCATAGCATGATTGCTGGCAAAAATACTCTTCTGGCACGCAGAAGAAGCTGGGTCTGAGGTAAGGGTGCTAGAGACACAAAACTAAAAAGAGTGACATCCAGCTTTCAACACGAGTCTCAGTTCAGGGTGACGCGTGTGCGAGCGCGTGGGCATTTACGACCTAACGTTAACGGGGAGTCATGCCGCCGCCTTACTCATTATAAAATGTATCTATTGTGGAATGCGGTGTGAGGTCACTGAGACGACTGGTGTGTAGTGACATCATTGTAATACACAACTGCGGTCTATGATGGTAAGTGCCACATACTGCATGCACAGGTTAAGTTGTCTGCATGCCGGCGAGTGCTGGGAAAGTACCCGTGATAGGCCAAGGCAGTCTGCACGGCAATATGGCCATGGGAGAAAGCCACACGCACACGGCCAGTCAGGAAGGAGCCCGTGGCACCCGTGCAGGTAGTGAGGACCAAACTCAGTACTACTGAAAGGAGCCAGACGTACAGCCAGTCACCGCAGACAGTACTCAGCACTGTGAACTTGGCAGCCACATGTGCAGGTAATCAGGTAGCCAGATACACAGTTCTTATTAATTTTCATGATTGATGATTGACGGATGATTGGTTGTGATATTTGCTGACTCATGTCGCGCATACCTGTAATCATACTGGCTGGAGAATTTCACAATTACTACCCACGCCGAATATCCGTCTGAGCTGTCAGCCTCACATTGTTGTAGCCGTGGCAATGGCCAGCACACTCCGGTAGTCATCATGTTTTCTCCGCCATCAACTACATTCTAACCTTTCCAATCTCACGGGAGCAGATGTACATGTATGGTCCTGCCGCTGATCCCGAGACCCATGGTCGGGGGAGGTAGGCCCAATTCACTAGCATGCTGCTCCGGCTTCCTGCTGTCGTGTCTTCCCCTTGGCCTCTGTCTTCCTATTCCGTTCTCTGCTGGACTGTGTACTTCAGTATACAAAAATCCAATCTCACATCCCAACAACGCACGGAACAACTCATTGAACTAATTACTTGAACGCCATGTGCAGTACGCGACCGAGTGACAAGGCAAACTGGATTTCTCTCAGGACTCACAAGTAGTTAGTTTACAGAAGCAAAATTCCACCTGTACTCCAGCATTATGTAGTTTCAGTTAGTAACTTGAACTGGTCACAATGGCTCACCCATCCGCTTGTCAGAGATAGCATAGTTACTAGCTACATGTAGAGTGGTGTTTGTAAGTAACCGATAAGGATCATCACGGGTTCAGACATCAGAACCTAACCGGTGGATAGCGAAGTGAAAATACTGATACAGTACTTGTCTACTGAATCATGCCAAGACTGAAAGGAACCCGGAAAAGTCTTTACCAGATGCGAATATGACAACTACATGACTGTACTAGTACTCGATCTCTGACTAGCTGCAAAGCTGGTTTTACTTCAACTCGTACACCATAGCTTTGACTCTGCTCTTCAGCTACAAGTTGCTTGGACATGTAAATAATTTTAAATTGTAATAATTATAGTGAATAACAGCCAATTTTACTTTTTTTAGCGTGCATGTGATCAAATGCTACGACTACGATCGAGCACAAGATCAGTAACTCGTAGTCGTAGATCTACTGACTGTAAACACTTGTGAAGTAAGTAAGGAGTAGTGCTTACAAAAAAATAATAGTATAATTATTTTGTCAGTGTAAGAAAAGCCTTTGTCTGTATTTATAACCATGGGAAACCATGTTTCGCGTTACCGCGCGCGTACCTTTTCGAATCCTTGACAAGAAAAAAAAGAAGATCCGAGACAAGTCAATCGATACATCGATGGCTGTTCTGGCGAACATTCTCTAGCCAGTATGGCAGATCAGAGGTTACCAGCTTCTCCATAATCTTGCATTCCAGGCGATGGTACGTAGAAGGTGCGAGCGATGACAATTTCTATTTTTCCAAGCCGTACACGGTACAGTGGGCTATAGGGCCTGCTCACCAAGCGAGCGAAGATTCCAGGTGTCAAGGACTTCGAGATTTTCCACGATCGTGATGGAGCGGAATTCCACTCGACTCATGTCAAAATGCAGAAGGAGCCATCCATGAAATTTGTTATTGTATCGCTCCAGTGCAGTCTGCCCGCTGTCCTGTGGCGACTTGTTGTCGTTTTGGATATTATTACCAAGAG